TATCGCGGCGTTATAGGGGAAGAGTCGTTGAACCCGGTGGCAGTCCCGGTGGTCAATCCTCGACTTGGGCCGACTGAGGATGTTTCTTTGCGATTTCGGACGTGCCTTGGAGCTGATGGACAGTAAGTGGCTGGGGTGCGCGGCTGAAGGGTCCAACGAACGCGAAAAGATCCAAAGAACGTCCACGCAGAGTTGTATTGAGATCGGAACTGCCAAGCCATATTGAATACATTTGAATACCTAGGGTGGGAGTAGGTCTATTGGAAGATCCATCGCCCGCACCGGACGTCCTGCCATCACCGCTCGGAGGAAACGCCGGCGACTGCCCCAACGGGTCCGACTGCGTCGGTCCAGGAGCGACCGCGCGGTGTGGGTTTGGAAGGCCCTAAGAGTTTAAGACTCCAGTTGCATATATAAAAATAGTTTAAAATATATTATTATATTTCATTCGCCAAGAATATCATAAGTAATCATAAGTATGATAGGATGGACTGGAAGTGAAGGATGCCAGTTGTATGGCTTATCTGATCGATGTGCGGACGTTGATCGCCCCTGCTCCAGGAGGAACCATGTACACCCCGTCGAGGGTCTATAGCTGGGGCGTTTGGTCGACTCGCGTCTTCGTGTCTCGTTGGCAAGATCTGGCAAGATGCACATTATATATAATCATATAGTGTCATATATGAGAGCCGAAACAAAGACCCCAATGGAGACAGAGAGAGAGACAGAGAGAGAGAGAGAGATGGCCCAAGCCGATCCATTGAAGGATCTCTGGGTCATCCGCTCCGAGGGTTTCAGAAAGCGGCCGACCAGCCGTCCGCTTCGCTGCCCTTGGACCTCAACGGTCCGCGTGGGTCTCGACCCGCGTGGACCGGGCGTCGGGCGTTGTTCGAGACGTTGGGCGCCGAGGTGCGGGACGCCCTCTTGGCGATTTTTCCCCAGAAGAGCGAGGAGATCCACCAGTTCGCGGACCCGGGAGAGACGCTCGGTGGAGAGGCGTTGGAGGAACGGAGTCCTTCGACAGGGAGGACATTCTCCCGAGAAGGCGTCGTGGCACCGACCATGCGAGTAACAATCAGGAGGTTGCCTGACGTCTTCTAATTTATTATATCATATCCCAGACGCTCCATGGGACTGCCATATATGCCTACATTGGGGTGGTTTGAGGGGTCAATTGAGGGGTCAATGTAGGCATATATGGCAGTCCCATGGAGCGTCTGGGTATTATATCGTCAGATTCTAGCAGGTGGGCTCTATGTCGGCTAGGTGAAGTTGAGTGGGGAAGATCTGGAGCGCCTCCGGTTTTGTGGAGTGGATCCGAGGACGTCCGTGTCATGAGTCGTCCGGACACATGGTGGAGAAGCCTGGCCAGGCTCTGGAAGGTATAGAGGTACTTGGTGTATAGCAGGAACCGTCATGAATATCAAAGAGGCCTTCGTGATTGGGAACCAAACGCTCCAAGCGAAGCCATCGTGGGAAACGCCCCCGGTGGGGCGGCCTTTCCACGGCCTCGCCAAGGCCTCTCAACCCACCACATCAGGACCGAGCAATCGAGCTCGCCCTTGCGACTTAGGTATGGACTCGAAAGCTATTGGTGCAGATGGCTTTGCTGCATGCTTTTTACGGCCACCTTGTTGGGGGACTTGGTCGGGAGCCCGGGACCTCAGACGGGAGGCGATCGAGGTCATCGAGGGATCGAGAGGTCGCCCAAGAGGCCCAGTCGACTTGTCATTCTCAGTTGGGCCCGTGGAACGAGGCGTTGTTGTGGCAGGTATGTGGAGTTTTTTTTGGACGGTAGATGGTAGACATCATTGATTGATCCGATTGACATTTGACAATATTTGACACTTGAGTCACTCTCAGCTTTTTTGCTGGCGAGTGACCCTGTTGGTGGTGTGCTCCTCAGGCATCAACATCATCCGGCTGCTTGTTTGCAAGAGTCCTCGCGGCTAGCTGGGGGTCCTGTAGTACCTTGCAAATAACTTGAAAGTGAGACTGTCCAATATGTTTGTTTCTGTTGGGAGATTGTGGGTGAGTCATGTCAAGTCTGATCTCCAGTTCCTTGTCCGACCACCCAGTCGACCGACTTCGCCCGCCGAGTCGAGTCGACACCGAACCGAGCCGACAGCGGTTGCTGCGCCCTGCCGACCGCCCTGCCGCCGTGTCGGTCGGTCGGTCCGAGGATGTTCTGGGACAGTCCGAACCAGGCGAGACCCGACCGGAGACGCGGAACCCGTTCGGCCGGTCGGTGGGGAGACCACCGCGAACCGGCCGTGGAAGTGCGGCCGGGGGAATCTTGGGCAAGCTGCAAGTTCGGTGTGGATGGTTTGAACTGTTCAGAGCAAGTCCGACCTTCGTTTTTTTCATATCTTCATCGTAATGTTCATCGCATATGTTCAGTCTTTGTTTGTTCACACGATGGTTATTTGCCAAGCCGGACGTTTTAGGAACGCGGATAGCGGAGATGGACGGGTCCCATCGTTGTGAAACAACCCGGCCTGGATCGATAAAGCCAGGTTAGTTGTTGACACTAGTTGAACTGTAGTTCTAAGATGTTCTAAGTGTCTCTATATAGACTATATTAGTTAAGACGTAGTTCAGTGTCTTCAAGGATCGATGACACTGTCAGCTGCTGAAGGTATTATGGTTACATAATCCCAGCTGCTGCTGCAGATCGTCTTCGTGAAACGGATCATGGGCGAACTGAAAAGCCGGGAGTCAGGTTGATGCTTTCTGACCACGACATGTTCCGTGTCGCGCAGCGTGACAGGAAAAAACACATAAGACCCATCGAGGTATACGTGTATTGCAGGCTTAGATGGATGTGATGTGCCGTTCAGTTGTTGGAGGTACACAGGGCACCTGATGACAGCATGACACATGGCTGCTTACGCCCCGGGCGGAGACGCCCCAGGCCGAATGCTGGCTGGACTACGAAGTCCCGGAATGGGCGGAGAAGGAGAGTTGCCGTGTCCCACGTCCCCATCGCCGCGCCATCCATCTCGGCTTTTCCTTTTGCACGAAGCCTCCGGGTGGACCCTCGGGGGACCCCATGAGGACCTCCCCAACAACCTCAACCCTCGAGAGATGCCTGCTCCCGGCGCCGTCTCGCTCGCCGTCTCTCCGCACCGAGAGCGCAGGAGCATGCCAAGGCCATCCACGGCTGGTCCGAAGTCGTCCCCCGGCGGCGCGGGGGGAGTCCGGTGGGGGCGCGAATCAACACGCCTAGCGTGCCACGTTCAGAACGGCCCAGGCTAGGGTTGAGCATGTCCCTTTGTAATCCTTTTTATTTTATTTTTTACCTTTTCATACTTTTTCCAATAACTCCATGGGTTTTGGCTGAAAGCAGACGTGACTCATGGAGATCGGGAAGGGATGAATTGCAGTTTCCCCATTTCAAGTCTTTTCTGGCGCAGCTTCTGGGGGCCACTTCGTGTTTTTTTTTTCTCTCCGGATTTGCGGATTGAAGCTAGTTGTGTTGACATGTGTTTTTCCACCGTTCTGGTGCTTCGCAGGCTTTGCATGCCAGGCATGCCAGGCTCGGTTGGGTTTGTAGTTCCCCACCGAGCCAGGCCGAGCTAGGCCTATCGTTGGGCTGCTTGAGGGAGAAATAATTAGGGTGCACTCTTTTGAACAATGAAATGCCAGCCAGTTTCTGATCCGAGATGCAGATCTAAGACGAATCTGGGATGTAGTAGGTTGGCAACCTACAGGGCCAACAGAGCATGTGAATG